TTCTTTGCTAATATTGATTATTATCTATGATTTGATACTTTTGAATTTTTAAAAATTGATAATCTTGTGATGAAAGATTTGGTAAATCATTTATTTGAGCTACATATAACAATGAAGGCACAACTAAAAGGAGCTTAAGAAAAACAAAAGAGCAATGCAGATGTCTATTGTAAGAAATAACTTCATTTTCACATTCATAATAGAATATAATTACTTTTTTGTAATATTAAAACTATTTACTCTTGTGATAAATTGGATTACTCTTGGCTTGAAATATTTTTTATTTATAAACAATTCAATCTAAGTGCTTATCTATTACATCTATCAAAGTATATAAAAGTCCATCTTATATTTTATCTATCTCTTTTAGAGCCATATAAGATTGTGAATATCTTAGAAAGAAGACAAATACAATCACTTTTTATAAAAGTAGATAATAATCAAGAATTTGAAATGAAAGAAGTCTTGGATTCAAGGTGGCATCAATTTAGCTTGGAATATCTTATTCATTGGTATAGATATGATATTAATAAATATTCATGGAAGCCTGCAAAAAATCTTATAAATGTTGTAAAAAATGTCAAAGCTTTTTATCAATGACATCCATTAAGACTAATATGAAAGATAATAAATCTTTGCTACAAAAGAAATATAATTTAAAAAATATTATATTCTACCTTCTACCTTTGTTTGTAGATTTTGTGTAATTGTAACAATAGAGAATCAACAATTAGCAGATTCAACTCAAGAGCCATTATTTGCTTACATTGTGATTACTACAACCTTCAAGATGAAGTAATAGGGATGAAGACCTTCATGAATGACATATTTTTCTTTGAATAGATGGTGAGATACAACGCTTTTGATATGACAATCTAATAAGAGAGTTTTGATGTTTGGTGATTTTATTGGAGGTAAAAACAACTCCTGATGGTATTACAAATATTTTTTTTGAAGGAAGTTATGAAGGTCTTAATAATGATTAAATAACATGGTATTATTCTTACCTTAAAATAAGACATTATTGATGGCTAAAAAGACCTAACAATTACCTTCAAAGAGAATAAAGATTAGAGTATGTGGCAAATATAATTTGTTGCATTTTAGACTCTCTCAATATGTGATCATCATTCTTCATGGAAATCGTCTCTAGAAGGAGGGATAATGCCATAGACATATATTTATTTTAATTATTACTTAAATAATATGAATAGATAGAAATAAATAAATGTAGATTAATTTAATAATATCTTTTAAGAAAGCTTTCTAAAACTTCATAGATACTGCTTTGAGTTTATATGTATTTACAATTGATTTATAAATTAAAAACTTGGTCAATAAGTTAATTATTTAATACACATGTTGATAATTTACAAATTAAATTAATTATATACATTCATAAAAAAAACTTGCCTTAGAAGTGAAGATATGTACCATGCAAAGTCAACACATTTTGGAGGTCCTATAGAACATTGCCACAAACGTCTTAGATAGATAATATATATAGAGGCAAGAGTAAAGCCTTCTCAACTCTTGTCAATTCTTTTCTTATTTTTAGTCTAGTTTCAAGAGTCTATATTCTTTTTATCTTTTAGTAATAGCTATTTTAATTTCTTTTTAATACACATACTTCTTTGAAAAAGTTTTATTTATTTATTTTCTTTCATCAAGTTCATGTCCTTGATATTTCTATTTAAAAAATATATTTTTTTACTAATTATGGTTATTATCTATGACTTTATAATTTAGACTTTTCAAAAGTTCATAATCTTTTGACAAAAGATTTAATAAATTGTTTGTTAAAGCTATATGCAACAATGAAGGTGTAATTAAAAAAAGCTCAAAATTGACAAATGATTAATGCAGATGCCTACTGCAAAGAACAAATATAATTCAACATAAGTAATAAGTTATAATTACTTTATTACAATATTAAGATTATTCATCCTTATAATAAGTTAGACTATTTTAAGCTTGAATCTTTTCTTATTGTAAACAAGTCAATCTTGTTGCTTATTGATTATATCTTTCAAAGTCTATGAAGATCCATCTTATATTTCACATGTTTCTTCTTAAGCTATATAAGACAATGAATATCCTAGAAAGAAATCAAATGCCATCACTTCTTATAGAAGTGAATAATAATAAAGAATTCAAGGTGGATGAAGTCTTAGATTTAAGACGATGCCAAAATAGATTGAAATACCTTATCCATTGGTATTGATATGATATTAATGAATGCACATGGCAACCAATAAAAAAATCTTATAAATACAATGAAGAAGGCTAAGGCTTTTCATTGACAACATCTATCAAAAGCAAGATGAAGAAAAGTAAGACCTATGAAATATGATAATTGCTCTTTATAGAACTCATCTCTAGATGAGAGATAATGTCACAAACATATATATTTACTCCAATAATCACCTATATAATTAGATAGAAGTAAATAAAAATAAATTAATTCCATAATATTTTTTAGAAGCTTTATAGATGTAATTTTTAACTTTATATGTATTTATAGTTAATTGATAGATTAAAAACTTGATCAATAAGTTAATCATGTGCTATACATATTGGTAGCTTGTAGAATAAGCTAATTATGTTGCACATATAAAACAAACTTGCTTTGCAAGTTAATATACATATCTTATAAAGTCAATACGTGCTAGAGGTCCTATAGAACATTGTCACATAGTTTTTAGTTAGATAATATATATGGATGTAAGAGTGAAGCATTTTTTACTCTTGTTAATGCCCTTCTAATCTTTAGTCTTATTTCAAGACTTTTCAATCTTCTTATCTTTCGCAATAGCCATTCTACTTCAATATATTATCATCTTTGTATAATTTTGTGGTCTTTTTGAGTGACAAAAGAGTGTATTGAAGATTTCTTTCTTTGAAATGCATGTACTTGATAGTGACATGTAGCTAACTTGTTGATCAAGTTTCTAGCCTATCAATTAGCTACAAACTTGTGTAAATTCAAAGCAACATCTATAAAGCTTTTAAGAAGATTTTTTACAAGATATTGTGAAATTAATTTATTTTTATTTATTCCTACTTAATAGTTATTGGAGTAAATATGTATAGTTATAATTCTTAATTATTTTTTATTTTTTATGATATAATTTGATATATATAGATATATACAATATTATTAATGTCACTTTAGTTTTAGCTGCTACTACTACAATTTGCCATGCATCATATGTCATCATAGTTTTACTAATGCCATCATAAGTTATCTTAAATTTAAGTTGTATATGATAATGCACTTTATGAAACACTAAAATATACATTTATAAAGAATATTTATTTTATCCATTGTTATATGCATTTATAATGTTTCATAAAATACATTATAGTAAGCAATGCAAGTTTAGGACAATTTGTGGTAGTACTAGCAAAACTTTTGGTGATATTAACAACACCTTCTATATATGTATATATATATATATATATATATATATATATATATATAGTTACATACATATACACATATATTAATTATTAATTATATATAATTTTAATATTTATATTATTATACATTAAGTATATATTTTTAATTAATCACATTAATAAAATTTGATTTAATTTTTAAAAATGATATAAAAGTATTAATTCTTGTGAAAATAATTATAAAAATAGAAGTAAATATAATTATCAATTTTATAAGAACTTATATATTTTTAATTTCTTTTATTTTCTTTTATCTATTGTAATGTTATAAATATATATAGAAAAATGATAAAGTGATCCAAATTTTGATTAAATTGACCCACATACCTAGTTCCCATCTATTTCTTTGTTCCTATTGACTCTCATATTTCCAATTGTTGCCTTTCTTCTCGATGTTCTCATTCTTCCGCCCCTATCTTTAATAACAATTGGAAATAGAGAACTGCTAAAACTAGGAATAAGAGCTCTAAGGGTGCAATGCTGCTTAAGAAAGAATAGATTATTTCAGTAAAAATTTGGGTTGCTTTATCATTCTCCTCTATGTATTCTTAAATATTCATATTTTTTTATTAAATTTTTATTTAATTTAATAAAATATATTACTAAAATTTCCAAAATATGTTCCAAAAAATATTGTTTAGTTGATATTTTCATTTTTTTATACTTTAATTGCATGATTATGTTTCTTTGTAGTTAAATATGTACTTAAAACAAAAAATGGTCTTAAAGTTATTTTTTGTAATTTTTTTTTCTTTTCTTCAAGCCACATCTAAATTCTAAACAATTTTATTATAAATACCTCAAAATAAAATTTTTAGTTCTAAGAAAATATACAAATATTGTATTTTTTGTTCTTTTATATAAATGGTTTTAAACTTCACTACAATTTAGCATGCAAAGAGATAAATTCTCTCTCTCTCTTTCTCTCTCTCTCTCTCTCTCTATATATATATATATATATAGATATATATATATATATATACACACATACATATATGTATATACACACACATACATGGAAGTCCATATCTAAATCCATGCCTCACAATTGATCACTCATTATTGGGTTTATTTACTTTTATCTTTTTTAAGGTTATATACATTGCATTTGTATAATAACCCTTGTAAAGAATGGGATGCCATAGTAGACAATGTAACATAGGAGAAGCTTTCCCTTCCCATTGAAAAGTATTCATTCCACCCCAAAGTCCTTCTTTCCTTGGCAGGATGCAGGCTTCAAGATCTTTGCCCCGCTGGAGGTGCTCAAACCGCATGTAGCCCTTTAAAAGCCAACCAGTAAGTGTCATCCTCATTAATACGCAACCCAAGCGCTTGTGGCTGAAGTTAGAGAGACCCCAACCCTGCAACAAGCCGCCACAAGCCCCTGTTCTCATCCATGGGAACATGATGCCAAGATCGGGGGAACGAGACATGATCGAACGTACGAAACACCACGAAACCCTAGCCCCTATGGCCGTGTCCATCCGTCACGAGCCCAACTGTGCCCGACCCCCTTCACCCGGCCCTCTCCACCATTGGCCTGCTCTTTTCATTGTAACCGTGCCTTCGTCTTCTAGTTCCTCCGCTCCGTGTCCATGGCTATCTTCCCGCCATAGCCACTACGTTTCTTATTCCTTCGTTCGCCTCATTCTCCTCATTCTCCTCCTTTCTATGTCTCTCCTGTTCTCCTTCGCCGTGTAGTTGTTTTCTTCGCGCCCTGTGTCCTTTTCATATTTGTTTTGGTTTGTTTAATTTTGTACCTTTTTTGTTTATTTATTTTCTCCCCCGATTTTATTTCAATGTTTTGCATGTTATTTGTGTGTTTTTGGCAATGATCGAGTATGGAATTTGTGTCTTTGGTTAGACGCGGATTTGGTAGGCACTGTTGGCGGGAGTCTATCGGCGGTGAATTTTGTGGTTTTAGGTTTTTTGGAAAGAGTTGTGGGAGGATGTTTGGGAATAGTTGTAATTCGGTGCGGGATTTGGGAGCGTGGAGTGCTTGAGTCTCGGACAAAATCCTTAGGTCTTATGACATGGAAGAGACGTGGTCCTTCGTGAAGCCGTTGGATTTTTTTTTTTTTTTTTTTTTTTTCTTGTTGGTTCGTTTGAACGTGTCTCTTCATCGTGTTGTTTGCAAATGTTCTTGTAGTGTTGGTTTCGGGGTTCTTGGTGCGCTCCCGTGTTCCTGAGATTATCTCGGTTCATTGGCTTAACGGGAGTGCGTTTGACCTGATCAACACGGCTTCACGCAAGGTTCGGAGGTATTTGTGAGGACGACGGTCATAATTGCGCTGCTCTCCTTCCAGTTTCCGGTTGTGAGAACTTCTTTAGCACTAAGTGGGGGTCACAAGGACTTGGTTCGCCTTAATGGATGGATAGAAGCTGCAGCCGGTCACGACGATGTGGATAACTTCATCATAGATTTCATTAGCGGGAAAGCGACGGGGGAAATTTCAATCATGTCGTTACTCGCCATGGATACGTCAAGTTTGTTTGATCCTTTTGAGTTTCCTCTTGAGATGGATTTGGATCCTCCTAAGCCGGAGACGAAGTTTAGAGAGAAATTGGAGATAAAGACAACGAGGCATCAAGATCATCATCTGAAGGTACGTTGTACTTGTCTTCTTAGTTTGTGAGTTGTGTCGGAGGAAATGGTGTTGCTCGTCTTTGTTTTCGGATTACTAATTTTGAGAACTAGACATGTCTGAATAACCTGCATGATATCACATGAAAAAGCGTATTTTCATCACTTTTGCTTTAGATGTTCTTAGTTGACTGCATTATTAAGGGCGAGCGTTTGACTTAGCAATGCCCATGAGTCCTCGACTTTGCTTGTACCACACTTCGGCTATGTTTGCTGTATCCTTTAAATCCTTGGTCGTCATATTCCATGAAGGATTTGAAGGGCGCATATAATGAATTGAAACATGATGTGTTTATTTTGCTCCTCGGTGTTGCTATAAATATCTCTCGATTTTTACTCAATTCATCATGACTTTCGTAGGTACGCATGGGTTGTATTAATTGTCGTGTGCAATGCGGCGGTGTACATGTGCGGTTATTGTCCTGATAATTTGTAGCGATGTCGCGATGTCGCGATGTCTTAATGGTGAATCTTAATGGAGTAATGAACGTACAGTCTACCTTCCGAACTTCGATACACCTCTCAGTTCGTATTTTTCCGCTGTTTTTAAACTTATATTGGGAGTTGATTTTTGTGCCGGCGATTTTGTAGGCAATGATGGCTGTAAGAGAGTCTGAATTCAAAAGCCGAGAACTTATGGATATCAAGTCATGTGTGCACGATATGCAGCCTAAGGTTAGCGAAGCGTCATAGGTGTTTAATATTACAATTATGAAACGATTATAATGCAGTCGTATTAGGTTCTCCAGAAAGTTTCATGATTTCCTGTAATCAGGTCGAGTTTCTTACAGGGTGCTATCCTAGTTACTAAACGCATTTATGTTACCTAGTAATGTAGGGTGCACCTTGCGTGTAATTTCGATTCTCATAATTTTAAAAAAAGGTATTTCGTATCAGGTGCAGATGATAGAGTCGCCTTCTCCTCCAACTGCTCCAGCTGCTTCGGACTTGCAGAATGTGCGTCAAAAACTGCGTGATTCTCTGACTTCTGCCCTAGAGATGGTCGTCAGCAAGCAGTTAATGAAGAGTGTGCTAGGTGTGGGTGCGGATGCGCAAGAAGAACCTAGATGCGGACAGAAGGTGTCTATGGTGGAAGGCCTTCAAGCCGCAAGTCTGTCACAGGTGAGACTACTTCCTTGGTGTCCACCCTGATATATATATATATATATATATATATATATATCTGCGACGGGGAGTAACAACGTACATATGTTGGATAGTTTACGAAGATTCCTAACGTTTATATCTTAGATTTTAATCAATCGTGTACTCCTTTTTGTGAATTTGGAGGAAAACTTGACACGTTCCTAACTGCAATTTATTCGTCTGTATCTACTACAGGAGCCTGGAAGTCCATTAAACAGTGACAAGGTTGGTGACTCACTTGTGGTCGATCTAGGCCCATTAGAAACTGAACCTGCGAGTTTAGATTCATTTGAAGTGTCTGTTCCGGAACTTGTCACCAGCGGAGGCAACTACAGATTGGATTTTGATCAAGAACAATATGGCTATGGAGCAGATCTTGGCGAGTCGCCCTTCAAGAAGTTGAAAGCAGATATTGGCCAATTTGATTGTGGTCACAGAAAGCTAGAAATTGAGGAAAAGGAGGGCAGAATAGCTGTAGAGGATGTAAAAGGAGGTCTTCATTTTATGGACCAAGCAAGAAAACTTGCCACTGATATTGAAGCTGAATTGTTTAAGCTGTATGGGTCGAAGAAGATGTACAACCAGAAAGCTCGTTCTCTTCTGTTTAATCTGAAAGACAAAAGTAATCCTGAGCTTCGGGCACGAGTGTTTTCCGGGGAAATCCCTCCTGAAGATTTATGTCGTATGAGTGGTGAACAGCTAGCGTCTAAGGAGCTTTCAGACTGGCGGAATGCCAAAGAACAAGCTCTTGATAAAATGCTTGTCCTCACTGATGCTGATACAGTATCTGGAAAGGTTGTAAAAAAGACCCACAAGGGGGAGTTTGTTGTGGATGTTCAGAATGAGACTACTGTGGACATTATGCCAGCTGTTACTCGTTCAGTGTTCCCTGCAAGCAATGTAGAGAAGGCTGGTCAGGACGCCCCTGTACAAATGGAAAATCAAGTCAACCATTCATTAAACAAGTCGAAGTATGGCACCTCTCTTCCTCTGAAACGAAGTAGGTCAGAGGAATCTGATCGTGTATTCGTGGCTTCTACTCAATCAAGCCAACTATCGGAGGAGTCACGTGCAAAGGAAACGGCACAACCTCAGTCCATTCTTTCAGAGACAATTCTGCCAACAATTATGTCACTTGATGAGTATATGAAAACTCAGAACGGTGATGGAGTACAGGAGGATGTGTTTCAAGATACACCTATTGAAACCAGAGACCCTCTGACACATCGTGCGGCTGATTCTCTAGGTGTCACTATTGAAGTCGCTGAAGACCGTGCTCCTGGTCTGAAAGTCGTCAGTCCCGGGGAGGAGAGCTCAGTCCTAAAGTCTACGAGCACCCGAGATGAAAGTCCAAGTTTGAAGTCTGCTGAAGCAGCGGAGCGGCACGTCAAGCTACCGAGCGACACAGGGAAAATCGGTGAAGATCGAGTGGTCTGGACGGGTCAGATTCAATTAAGTGGTAGCCGACATTCTCCGTTGGCCATTAAACACCGAAGGTAAGTGTTCTTCGAGCAGCATTGCCTTGATTCAGATGCTTTCGCTTTGGATGAGGGCCTAGATATTTGTAGTCTGTTTTCTATCTTCTTTTGGTGCTCTTGTATACGATGAATTGCATGTCCACATTTCTATTCCCTGGCGTTTTGATCTGTTGATGTCAAACTTTTTAGCGAAGTTTCTGCTGAAAGCGGGTTAACTTTTGATAGTTTCACGTCCGCGTGATTGTGGATGATGCAGCACTGCGGGCACTTGCAACCTCTTAAGCTTTACGCTTGTATTTGACTCGTGATTTGTGATGCAGTGGGGAAATGGTAGATTTGAAGAGTTGGCCAAAATCACTTGAGTTGAAGGGAAGGGTAAGATTGGCGCACTTGGACAAGTTTCTTCAGGAATTGCAGCAGTCCCGTTCACGCGTAGTCACGGTACAGCCTCAAGCTTTTGTGACGTTCTTAATGTTAAAACCCTTATGCCGAACATTTTGGAGAAGTGTCAAGCTAAGCTTTTGTACTGAATTTTTTTCTGAATTACAGATCTTTGTGGTTCTTTGTCTAATCCTTGCCATTTCTGCAATGTAGTGTATTAATTTGGTCACGTTTGCTTCATTGTAGTTAGCAGCATAGTCACTTTCGTTCTTTGGGGATTTCGTTCAACTGAGAAAATGGTCTAAACGTTTGAACCAAAAGCTACCTACGTGCCTGAATAGTTGCTCTTGGCATCGAACTGGAACTTGAGTGTCTAACTTGGTCAACTTCACAGAACTTTCTATCCATTACACCAGTTTTGTGACCAACCAAAATTTGTCGTGAATGTTAACCAGTGTGATGGTGCGATCTTTGTAATAGACAAGTTAACGTATAGAACCGGAAGTTTCTGTGATAACAGAGAAATTGATATAATAGCCTATGAACATATGATGCATTCTCTTGCAAGCACCAAGGTCATATTTTAGCCCATAAGCATACGCTCCAAACTGGTAGGCAGTATTCGACGGGATTGTAAGAATTTTTATTCAGTATGTAAAGTGGAAGATCGCTCTCCTCAACTCTAGTTATGCTCTTGACCTTTTAGATTTTTGGACGCATGACAAACACGTTGAGGTTAAAGAACTTGGACGTTTGGAACGTGCTGAATATGCAGATACAACGATTGTTAATTTTCGATTTTTTGGATATACGAAGAGCCTATTGCTCCCACTATGTGGAAAATCCTAAGATTTGAACGAGAATGGTGGCTTCAGTGCAGTGTGTCGAATACAGACAGTTTTACAGGGAGGATTTCAAATGTAGTCATTCTGGACAAAACGTTCTGGGGTGTAATTTTATCACCTCGACTAGAAGTTTCAAATTGAGCAACTCAGTATCTCTCATAGACTATCAGTGAGTAATACGGAGACATGTGAATATGCTCGCTACAAGTCAACCGTACTTCATGCGTTGTGGTGCACCTTCAAATTAAGAGGTTCATTGTGTGAAGTGGCACCACCTGCAGTGAAGACTTCGGTTGTTCTCGTATACCTTGAATAGTGCTTTAGTACGCTTGCATTGAGACTTCCTGGTTCAGGCTATGTTGAACTTTCCTTGCGGAGCATCACCATGGTCTTCTCTTTCCTCAAATGTTGTTACGGAACGCTCTTTCACAGAAACTTCTTTTACCAGAGGAAAGGTTTTGATGAGGATGCTTCGAAGTTGGAGATTCTTGGATGGACACTGAAAATGATGTCAAGAGTCCCAACTACAAATGCTAACCGCCTCTGGCTGCGAACCAGTCGTCGCAGAGAAATGTCAGTGGGCTGTCCTTAGATTTCTCATATAGGAACCGGCTGTTTACTGGAAATTTGTAAACGATATTTGCTCACTGTTTGTCTGTAGTTAAAGGCTAGAGGTTAAGCATTTTCTTTCATGATTTTTTTGTCTCGTGTTTCTTGGTCTTAGTCTCTTGTTGAATTTCCTAGATTTGTTAATCATTTCTCCATTCACATCTGCAAGTTCATGATACATTTGGGAGTACGTGCCGGTTGGTGTGGCTTTTGATTGTTCTTGTGTGTCGATTTGGAGAGTCTGATTTATTTTCTAACGGTGCAACTCATTTGCAACGCAGTTTTTTGATATTTTGCTCTTTACCTGAGTTCATTTCAAGAGAGTGTTTATCAGTCCGTGTTTTCACCCTCTGTTTCCTTTTGTGAGTGGCTAATCATCAATGTCGTTGTTATCCTTGCAGGTTATCTCTGTTGTTGTGCAGGATGGGCATGCAGATCAGGCAGCCGCTACAGAACATGTTAAGGAGGTCTGCTATATACTTCTAATTATCATTTTTCATTTTTCATTTTTATCTTTGTTTTGTGTCTGGTGCTCTTGGTACCTTATTTAGTTGGTGAAGTATCTCTGTTTAACTTCCTTACAGATGTGTGAGCCTTTACTAGGATTTGCTTGGTAAAATCTGTTAACTCATCCAATTGTTGAAGAGTGTAAGGTCTGTTTTCAATGTCTTTCGGTGTGGTTTGTTAAATTTGTGATTATGTTTGTTATAATTTTCCGGGGGTACTCTGTGGGCTACTGTTCCCACTTCATCTGATGCATTGGTGCCACTGAAATTGACAGATTGCAAGTCAGTATCAAATGGGAGATAGAGTGGGCTTTATCGAGCCTCGGTCTGGTTATGAAGTCTACTTGCTACCGCCTGGCAGCGGCACCACCAAACTCCTTAGTGAGCATGGGCACTCATCAACTGAAGCACTTGGCAAGGACGTAGTGTTAGTGGGTGTTATTGTGTGGCGTAGAAGCCACTTGTCATCTTCTTCTAGGCCTGCTGACCGTAACAATAATGTAAAGAGACATGCGGTTGCATCTTCAACTCATCATGAGTCCATCTCCAAGAGTAGTAGGGCTGGGGTTGGTTCATCAAAAGAGCCAAGCAGTGGCCCTAGGACAAAGTCGCGAGGCGGGATTAATGTAAGCTCTGCTTTATCATCAATGCACCTCTCTAAATTCCCAATTGAATCACCCACGAAAGAAGATCCCTCACCCTCACGTATTAGGAACTGGCCGCCTCCTACCACTGCAACCTCTAATGGAAATGTGCAGAAGTCTCACCATGTTACTTCTGCTCCTTCTGATTCTTCCACTGATATGCCTCCGGGTTTCCCAGTCCGGCCTGAACCTTCTGCTTCTGTTGCGTCTAGACCCCACCTGGACCCTAGATTGCCCGCTCAGAATATGGAGTTTAGACCTGCTCAGGCCCCTGTGGATGTTCCTCCGGGATTCTGGCCTCGACCCCCTCAAAATATGCCAGCTCAGCAATCTCTCACGGAAGATGACGATGACGATCTTCCTGAATTTGATTTTAGCGTTCATAATGTTGGTGGGCATTCTCATTCTCCTACTCCTAGGCAGTTCCCAGTTGCTGGTCCATCTCTCAATCCCGAGCCTCCTCATCTCTCTCATTTTCTCTCTCGCCAGAGTCCTGCCAAAGTACTCGAGCAGGTTGGTCTTCCTCCTAACCCTGAATCTTTCTCTGGGTACCTCCCAAGGCCTGGTGGTCCTTCCCCCTCTCCTCAGGACCCTGCTTTCCTCACTAGAAATCGCTCTTATTACAACTCTGTAGGGAATATAGCTCCTCTGTCTGGAGACGGTCATGCAGAGGTCGACTTTAGGCCTTTACCTCAAGAGCAACTAAGAGTAGCTCCAGGAGCTGGCGGCCAAGGACAATTGGCCATGCTAGGCCAACCAGGGCCTTTGCCCCGGCCACCTGTGCAACAGTATGGGGCTCCTTTACAAGGGGGTCACGGTGCTCTTCCACCAGTTAATTCCGTTTCCAGGAATGATTTACCGGAGTGGCACCTTTCGGCTCATTTTCAGTCAAGGCCCGCTCTGTACGAGAACGACTCTCGTCACATGGCGGTTGCCCCACCTCCTCGCCAGCCTCACTTCGATCCGGCTGCAGCGCTTGGTGGTGCCCCCCCTCCACCATTGGCACAACCTCAGGACATGAGCTGGCCTCCTCAACAGCATCATCAACGAGCTCATCAGCAAGCACCACCATTGCTACTGCCGCCTCCGCCTCCACCGCTTCCTCCCCAGTACATGCAGCAGCAGCCAGAGCAGCCTCATGGGCACTTCCAATCTCAACCCCAACCTCAATGGCAGCGGCAGCATTCCAATCATTTTCAACCTCAGCACCAACCTCAGCAGCAGCAACAGCATATGACTGGAAGGCCTGTGGATTCCAGAGGTGCTTCCTTTACCAACAGTTGGGAGGGTCATGCTCCTCCTTGGGACGCTGCTGGGACGAGGAACAGCAAAAGCAATGTCAGCACTGAGCACCATGTAGACAATAGGGGTAATGGTGAAAATCGCACGAAGGATCCTCGCACTTCTGATCAGCTCTTGTGGCATGAACGAGAAAGAGATACGAATGGAGGAAGACATGATTATCGGCGAATGTAGTCTGATTACCATTTCGGATAAAGCAGAACTTAGTCACTCTTAGGCTTCTTAGTTTGTACAATGTAATTTTGCGAAGCTTAGTGGAAACACATCCAATTCTCTTATTGCAATTGGAGTCTTTATGGTCTGGTACATACTACGCAGAGACCTCAGCAATGTGGCGTTCTAGTCCCATATTTGCATGGAAAACACTCTTAGAATCCTCGTCTGAAAGTTTTGAGACGAACGCAAGCCTTGTAGTAGCACTCCTAGTAGATACCATGTTTTTGAATTTCGAATTATGCTGGATGTCCAACTGTGTGAATCGTGGATACCACAATCAACCAACACTCTGACATTATTGCCTGCAGGAAATGATCATCTTGTTATCCAAATTTTTCTTCTCAATGTGTGGAGCTCATTTCATCTTCCCGTTTCTGGTGAAATTCAGTGTCAATCAGCTCGAACCTCGTAAACTCGTTAAAAATTGTTTTTAACTGTGTCGTCATGCTGTGTGAGTTCGTGTTGCAGCTGCAGATGCAGTACAAAGTGATAGCCTTCCCAAACCTAGTAAACAGAGCCTGAAGGATCTCCAATCAGAATTGTGCCAAGTGCCTCGTTTATTGCAACGTTGCTCACTTCCGACCGAACTTGATTCATGCCTCACCGAAGGATTACCATTCAGCCTTGGTCCCACAAGCAGCATACAGCAGCAACAATGAAGGGCTATGTTCCTCAACACTTTCCTAAGGTTCCCTGCATGAGCTTTTAGTGAATGCTGCTGTTGGCGAGTGTAGCAGTGCCAGCCACTCCCTTCTCTGTCATTCAGTGGATACATAGCCAAATGCTCGCATCGCATTTGTTTGAGTGCATGGTTCTTTTTTTTCAGAACGAACAGTAGACATAAAAGGATGTGTACAATTGAAGGTGCACAATTCGCTGTGAGGTCAAGTCCCGCTCTGCCCACACCTTCACCTGAATCTTGAATGCAACACAGTGGGGTTCAATCTTAAAGGTTTGCCAGAGCACTCCGGGAATAAGCATTACTGCTAATGCAAAATACTGAGCACGGACGATGTTAAAAAGCACCTAACTGCGTTTATCAACTCTGGTCGAAGTATGTTCACAGCGAAGCTGCTCAACCCGCAAGCGACAACAGCAATTTTGCTCATCCTTGAATTTGCTTTTGTAAAACTTCCCGAGTCCTTCCCAGCGCGTAATCAGGAGTAAGTTTCGGTCAGAGAGCACACAAACAGTGGCGGACACAAGCGGATTTTTCAACAAGGAATCCAGCATGTGAGGTTGTGACGGAGACTATTAATCTTTGTTGCACACGATGCTCGAAACCCTAATTACCAAGGGATTGCTTGTCCGCGATTCAGTTGAAGCAGATAACATGTATCCTTCTATATCCGTGTTATAAATATATTGCGGGCAATGCGAGGCTGCGCATTTCCGCGTCCCTTTGGCAAACTCTACAGCACGGCAGCCATGTCTTAAACAACACTCGTTAAGTGGCCCCGCTTAGAACTTGTGCCCCCTTTTCGTCGCAAAATTCATGAGATCACCCGAAACAATCTGCCAGAAGCTTCAATCTACATGAAACGAACATCGAGAGAAAAACCCACATTACAAAATTAAAATTTTCTCGATCGATTTGGGAACCTAATTGATGGAAGGGCTGGATTGATTTGCACTAGGAACTGACCAGAAAGAGTCCAAAGAAATTCGTCAGAACAGCGTCGTCGTCAGGAATTCGGTTGAGAAATGAACGAAGTTGGACGGATAGAGCTTGACGGACGAAGATTGATGGACGACGTTAATCGGACGGAAAAGCCTTTTGACTGTAATAGACGTTTGTTGATCATAGTCCCCGTTCCAATCAGAAATGATAAAAATCCGAAATTCATGGTAATTTATACTTTTAAAATTTAGATGAAAGAATTGTAAAATAAATAATAAAAGTTTATTTCAAAAGAATATCAATCATTGATAATTGAAAAGATGAAAATTAAAATTTCAGTAATAAATTGAATAAATAGATTGGACTTAATACTGACTCCCACTTAAAAACAAACAAATTTTATGCAATCAAAACATCCAAACAGGTTTATCTTATGAAAACTACAAACCAATATCCGAAACATTATATTTTAGTAAATTACTAGTAAAATAGACTTGATTTAGTAAAGTGTATCTAACAGTCTTATTTTAGTAATAATTCTTACGTTGAAACTAAAGATAGTAGTAAAAAAAATATTTTAAATTTCTTTATGAACCAAAGAAATCATTAATAAAATAAACTTGTGTTTCTTCAAAAAAATAAAATTATAAATGAAATAATGATTTTTTATTTTCAAGAAATAACTTTGATTGTAGTTATAAAATAATAATATCATGTCTTAGATAAGATTAAAAATTAAATTACATAAATTGTATTATAAATAATATTATAAATAATTATATACATATATATACATATAGAGAGAGAAATTTAAAAAAACAGATATTTTTTATAATTATTTTTTGTATATATATAATAAATGTAAATATAAATATTATTAATTTTTTATATTATATATATATATATAATATAAAACTTCTTCTATATATATATATATATATATAGAAAATTTTTTTACACCAAAGGCGCACTTTTGAAGACCATGAGTCAAAGGCCTTACTAAGATCTTCTCATGGATGAAGAAAAGCCCTCCTTTTGAAGCTTTAGCTTTTAGATATAATATAAAAAGGAGAGAGATCATGATATGAAAGAAATCATTTTTTTTATTAAAATTCTAAATATGTCAACTAATAACTTAATTCCAACAATTATGAAAAAAAAATTATATCTTAATTTAATTGATTTTTTTTTTTTTTTTTTTTTTTTTTTTGATTTTTGGTTTTTTAAAAGAATTAACAAAGTTTCTTCTTTTTAAACAAAGAAAATATTTTTGAGATAAATTTAATAGAAATTCTAAGAAAAAATACTATTCATGCCATATGAAGAAAAAAAAAAAAGAAAAAAAAAAAATCTACTTCATCTTTTTCTTTAAAGGCTTTTGGACTGATTTTTCTAAATTTAAAACCAATCAAGTTAGGTTTTTTATTTCCAACTAGCAAAAAGATTTAATAATTGCGACTTCTCACCCTGTCCCCTAAGTATAAAGACCTCATTATAACCATAACTTTCATAGTTACATTGTTAGTTTTAGTTTTAAATTCCAGGCTTGAATTTCAAAGCTTAACCAAGTAATACATATCCCTGGTGCTCTATTTTACTTAAGTTCAACTTTACAAGTTGAATTCATTGAAATGTAATTAATTACAGTAAAAAATTTAAAAACAGTTTAACTTTCACAATTTATAATAATTTATTTTATATACACAATTATTATACATTTTTAAGCCACAATGAAGTATAAATTTTTACCATAGAATAGAGAATGTTTTTGTTAATACTTTTTAAGATTGTTTTGATTGGTAATCAATGGCAAGAAAGTGATTGACATATTTAGTAATCATATTTAGATAGTTTGCCACAAAATGTCAAAGAATTATTACCTGGTGTGCTTGAACCTCTCATTAATCTTTGCATAAGAAAGAAAAAAATCAATCAAAGATTTTTATTTTATTTTATTTTATTTGATACAAATAGAATTTTTTTCAATTGCAATAAAAAGGTTAATTTACATAAGTCTTAGCTAAGTCTCACTAAGGCATACTGGATTCTAGATATCAATAAGAAAACTATTTCTAGGACCAAGTAGTTTCCAAATTGGCTTAACCTCTAGCCATATTGCATTTATCTCCATTTATACACCATTGTTGTTAAAAATATTTCATGTATTTTTTTCTTTTTAAAGGCTTGTTTTGTATTCTTAATTGAATATTAAACTAAGTATTTTAATTATAAGCAATGAGATTAAGTAATATCATGTGATACATCTTTTCTTATAAACAATGTATTTTGTTAAATGAAACATCATTTTTTTCTATTCATAAAATCCATTGTATGATATCTTTCATAAGTAGCCACAACCTCCTCACAAGTTTAAATTGACATGGTAAAAAGTGCACAAAGATATAGTGCTTCCAAGAAGAAGAAAATAACAAAAGGTCTATGCTCCTACTTGTATGTTGCTAGGTTTATTTGCTCTTCTCAAATTTCTTCTAGTATCTAGTATCACAGACATATATGTTCATCCTAATAATTATCTAGATAATAAGAATAGGTAGAAATAAGTCAAAGTAGTTAAATATGATAATATCTTGTGAAAAGCTTCCTAGAAGCTTTATAGATATTGCTTTGGATTTATACATGTCTATAGGTGATTTGTAAGTTGAAAACTTGGCCAACAAGGAGGCCACGTGTCAACATATTGACCACTTGTAGTACAAGTTGGACATATGGTACACACCTAAGAAACTTGCCTTGAAAATTAGACATGTGTCCTGAAAGTTGGATGTGTATTAGAGGTTCTATAGCATATCGCCATGTATTCCTTAATTAAGTAGTATATATGGAGGCAAGAGTGAGGCCTTCCTCACTCTTGTCAACTCCTTTCTTGATTTTTGATCTAATTTCAAGACTCTTATGTTTTCTAGTCTTTGGCAATAGCCATTCCAGTTCTTCCTTGAATATACATACTTTCTTCTATTTTGTCACTTTTCTTTTGACACAGATTCCATGACTTTATGCATCTTCTTCGAGTTTGTCTCCTTGATAGATTGACAAAAATGCATGTACAATATCAAAGCTTTGCCTTTTCTTGATTGAGAGTGGATTACCCATTTTTCTTGATAAGACATAAGCATATTAGAAGTTGCAGATTACCTTCTTTTAAATTGATATTGTCTCTAGATTTTTTTTTCTTGATTTTTGAATATTGTATTTTATAAAAATAGATTTTTTAATTTTATTGTGCTAGCATGGCACAACTTGCTGAAATGAAGAGTGTAATGGCGCAAATGCAAGAGCAAATGAGAGAATTAATGCTTGCAATGCATCAATTCACTCTACCACTATAAGGAGCAAGAAGATTATCAGGCAATAAAGATACAGAGATGATTGGAGTTTCTTCAACATCTACACCAAGCCATACTACTACTCCTACAATAGAACATCGTTCAAGTTTCAAGGAACCAAAAATTGGATTACCTAAGAAGTTTAATGCACAAGATCTAAGTTTCTAGGATTCATCAATTGGATACAATTAGTAATTGAATTATAACCTCAAAGTTATCCAACTCAAAAATCACAAGTCAGGTTTATTAGAACACTATTTTTAAGCTTTATTTT